GTTCCCTGAAAAAAATTGCACACGAACAAAGAAAGATAGAGGGGGAGAGAGGGAGAGAGGGAGAGAGGGAGACGGAGAGAGGGAGAGAGAGAGAGAGAGATAGAGAGGGAATCGTATGAGGGGGTGGCGCGCGGGTGAAAATAAGAAACAAAACAAAAACTGCAAGACGAGGGACGATGGACACAGATGGAGGGAGCCAAACCAGCACACCGTGCGAGCTGCTCCTTACGTCACATCATTCATTCTGAACCCGAGATGTTGCTGTGCTCGAGACAACGATACACTTTCGGGGATGAGAGAAGAAGCCAGCCCACCGCGTGGATTTGGGGAACATCGGGCAAGCACACCGCAGGATGTCGGCCAAGAAGGAACACGAACAAAAGAATGGCCGACTCAACCCGCAGCGTCCAGGAATAACTACCACCCCCACCACGACCGGCGCTGCTCCTACTCCTACTACTACCACTACTAAGAACAGCCGAGTCAACGTGCAGCGTCCAGGCAAAAACATCACCACCCCCACCCCTACTACATCAACAACTACCACTACCCGAGGTCTCTCACGTGTGCCTGAACTGATCGTCCGGAGGCATCCACTCCACCCGCGGCGGCAACGGGAGCAGCCGCCGGCTGGGACACGGCCGGCTGGCCGACCCGCTGCTGCTGCTGCTGCTGCTGCTGCTGCTGGTGCTGGTGCTGGTGCTGCTGCTGCAGCTGCTGCTGCCGTTGTTGCTGAAGCGGCGACGCCCCGATCACCGCGGGGGCGGCCCCGCCGCCGCCTCCGCCGCCCGCCACCGCTCCGCCGATGCCGTTGCTCCCGGCGGCCAGAGCGGCCGTCGTGCCGGCGCCGCCGACGACGGTGGCTGCCGCCGGTGCCGTTGTGGCGGCCGGCGCGGCAGAGGACGCTTGCAGCAGCCGCTGCTGCTGGAGCTGCTGCTGTTGTTGCTGCTGCTGCTGCTGCTGCTGCAGGAGCAACTGCTGCTGCTGCTGCTGCTGCTGGAGCCGCGCTTGCTGCTGCTGCTGCTGCTGCTGTTGCTGCTGCTGAAGGAGCACCTGCTGCTGTTGCTGCTGCTGCTGTTGCTGCTGCGCCAGCGCCGTGGCAGCAGCAGCAGCAGCAGCCGCAGCCGTCGTTTGTGGTTGAGCCCGCCCCGCCAACATTGGCGACTGTTGAGAGGGTGCCGAAGCTGGCGCTGCCGATGTTGCAAGGGGCACCGCCGTCGCCGCCGTGCTCGACGGAAGGCCGTTCGACACCCCTCCCACCTGGGAAGGCAACACCCGAATCAAGATATGACGCCAGCGAACGGACATGGCAGCAGGCAAGGAAACCAGAACCAATTCAAGAGAGGTAGTAGACGCGAGTCGAAACGCGCAGTTAGAAGCAAACCCGCAAGAGCCAACAAAAAACAATGCTAAAACATGGAAACGTTCAAAGGTCAAAGCCAGCCGACATTAAAAAATAATGACTGCTACACTGCCACTCCAAAAACTGATGCGACGACGTAGTTGTAAACGAACACCACACTCGAAGAAAAACTCACCTGCTGCTGTGCCGTCACAAGGGCACCCTGTCTAGGCGAGGCGGCAGCTTCCACCGCGGCCGGAGCTGCTGCAGGGTCCGTCGCTGCCGCCGCCGCCGCCGTCGTCGCTACCGATGGCCCCGCCGCGACCACAGGCAACGCCGCCGGCGGGCCTATCGACACTACAGGCGTCGCGGCCTGGAGCGGCACCGCTGCCGGGAGCGGAGCGGACGTTGCTACTGCTGCCTGAGCCGCCGCCGCCGCCGCCGCCGCCGTGGTTGCCGCCATAGACGCCGGCACCGCCACGCCACTTACCGCCGGTGCCGCGGCCACCGTTGCGACCGGCCCCGGTGCCGCTATCGTAGTCTGAGGTACGGTGGCGGCCCCGGCGGTGACGCCCACCGTTGCCGGTATCACCGGGGATGCCTGGGTGCCGGGCACCGCCGTCGGAACCGCTGTGGGGGTGGCCGCCGCCGCCGCCGCCGCCGCCGCCGCCGCTTGCTGCTGCTGCTGCTGGGGCGAAGGGCCTGCTGCCGCCACCGGGGTCGAGGACGCGGGCATGCCGAGGGGCGCCGCCGCCGCCGCGGCTACGTTCATCTTCCCTCCTCTAACCCCCTTGATCGCGTCGCCGCCGTCGCCGTCCGCGGCGGGGGTGCCTTCCGCCTTCGCGGGGGGCTGCTGCGTCTGGTCGGCCCTAACCTCTCCCCCCGTTCCTCCTGATCGCGCTAGCTGCGCGGCGATCCCCACGTTTCTCCCTGCCTGACGGCCTCTTGTCCTCTTCTCTCCTTGGAAATATGTCGCGTTCTCCCCCTGGGTGTCTAGGGGGGAAAACACCAGCCGATACGTGCCAAAGGGGCGCGCCGCGTCTTCCACCAGCAGACTGCCTGCCGTCGAGTTTGCCTGTGGAGACTGCGCAAACAACAACGGTGGATGGGGAGGAGGGGGGGTTGCAGTGATGGCTTCTTGCGGTGGCGCGACCGTCCAAACTCTAGGGTTCGAAATTACCGTCGTCCTCGGGAACGAAGTTTGGAATACATCAGCAGCCCACCCGGAGGGAGAGCGCTGCGTCAACCGAGCGGAAAACGCGGTGCCCGCAAACAAACATGTGCCTTAACTCAAAAATTCACGCACCACAATCACGCGGAAAAGACACGAGACACGACGGGGGTCGTGTGCTGCCCTTGGCAAGCAGCATGTCACGACCAACGGCGGTGAGCAGCGAGAATTTCGCACAGAGTCGTCTTAGGTTTTGTACAATACAACCGATGCACGTGGAATTAATATTCTGCCAGTCTTTCTCGCGATGGGCATCAGATCGGCGGGCTACCCACACTCTGTACAAGAACAAATTTCACAAACGGAGCGTATTTGTAGGTACTGCTGTAGAAACTGAGACCTGCGCGGGACCGCGACGAGTCTACCGCAAAGGGCGGTATGCATACAACTGCGGGACGATGTCCATGTCATGCATGCGTGTGTTCATGACCATTTACAGTACTTGAAGAGGTAACAGTGACAATCACACTGAAACATAGATAGTCTCTGCGTTAACCTTCCATAGCAACCCCGGGGAAGAAAATGGCGCGCGCCGAGATCACGGCAAAGCTGCCCGTGGTGAGGCCTCCGCCGCATGTTCAACACGCAGTCAGAAGCAATGATCAGCAGCGGCCATTCTACACATGGCAACGTCTAGGTCAACAACCAACAGCAGCCGTGTGCATTCAACATATTGCAAGTCAGTAACACTGCTCTCAATGACTTAGGCAGATATGCCTAACGCATCTACTAAAGCAAACCGACGACACCACGTCGAGGCGAAGACGCACTACATCCGAGCAGTAGATCATTGCCGCCGTAGCAATCGTTTCGAACATGGCACAACATCAGAAGGTTTCCAGTGTTCAAACTACTCTATTGATAGAAAATGGTGTAGCATACCATCTCATTCGAAAATCGAAGAATACTCGTTGAGTCACCTCTGGACGTTCATCAAACGCCCAAGACTAAACACACCGCGCGGTCGATCCTCGAGCCAGACAAAAAGCGACCAAACGCAGCAGAGAAGGATTCACGTGGCAATACTCAATCTGCACGCAGTCGGCTGCGCTCAGTCGTCGGCGTTTGGGCGCGCGGCGATCGCGTTGAAAACACCAACACCAAAAAAATCGACGAAAAAATAAAAAATGCAGATGTCTAAAAATTCGACCAAATTTTGCGAGATAACGCGGGCCGGAGGCGCCCCCTCGGTACGCTTTATTACGGCGCCGAACAACGGCGACCGGCCGCTCTCCGACGAAGGAATATACAAAAACACAACCGAGACACCCAGGGCAGCTTGAATTCCGGGGGGGCGTGTTGCCCCCTCCGTGGCCCGCGGCGGGGGCGGCGTATATCGCCCGAAAGTCCAAAACCTCGATAAGACCGACTTCGCCCAAACCGCTCTGCAACCAGGGGTTACCTCGCAAGCAGGACCCTCCCAAGCCAACGAATTGGTCATTCCCCACGCACCTGTGCCTGTGGGGCTTCAGACGATCCCCCTTTCGCCACTTGGGTACGTTTTCGCCACCTCTCTCTCTCCCTAACTCGCTTTCGTGTCTAGATGGAGTTCAGAATAACGCGAGTCAACGGGGGGGAGGGGATGCCAACGATTGTCATTTTCTCTTCTCTTTTTTTTCCCCCTCTCTATCTCCTCCTAGAGCACAACTGCTTCGGCGGCGGCGTTTCCGGGTGGCGCAGTTTCCCCTCAACACGTTCCTGACGCAGTGTTGCACGCCTTCGACGATCAACCCGTCTGATACATGACATTAGCTAAGCATAAAAACCAAAATTGAAGTATAATGTGAAACAGCAGGTACTCTGTAACGAGGTAACTGGCATTTTGAGATAATGCGCTTGTAACTCTCTAGTTAGTGTTCACGAATAATGCATCAATACTTGCATCAACCATGCATGTAGATCTGAAGACTAATGTACAAGGCGCTCAACAAGTCGGCTAGATATTCAGCATTGCAACACACAACACGTGATATAGACCTTCTTTGCACTCTACAGCAGTATTTAGGTGGTGCGAGTTTTTTTGTAGAGATGATTAGAAGAGCAGACGGGGGAAGGCAACACAAGCGTGGTCGTGCTTTTGTCTAAACAGTATGTCTACACCCCGAAAACAATGTATTGGTGTCGCACGCAAATAATCGGCCCATTTGACAATTTGCATACCGAAGATGATTTTTTGTCAAGGTCCGTCTTATAGGAACGTCCATTATTTCCTAGAAGGTGTAGCCCAGCCCAATCGCCATGCCTGAAAAGCATCGACCTAAAACAATACTTCAATACTTGTACCAGGTTTCGAAGTTATCTCAATGGGCTTGAGCAATATTCCTACCGACTGGGCGCCGGCATCTCACGCGATTGGTTGAATGAAGCAGCTCAATCATGAGTGAGCAGGGGGTCAACGCAATCCGTGGAATGGTACAATATCGTCCGGGAAACGTTTTCGCTTTTTAGGCATGCAGGTCAAGCGAACCATGAGAGACAACACGCAAATAATAGGGTAGCCCCGCCCTCCTGATCGAGTAAGAGAACATCCTCCGCCTAGCACTCATGGTGGACACACCTGGAAAGGAATACTTGTAAATTCAAATCCAGACCAAGGCAGCAAAACAGGGGCAAAGTAAACCCCTTACAACGCCCGCACCGAACAAGAGGAGAGCGTGTGGGGGGCAGGGGCGGAGCTCCAGTGAGTATTGAAGCCTAACCCTAGGTAGCGGCCTTCCTAAACTGGCAAAAACTCTCTGCGCTCGAACGGATACAAGACACGATAGAAAATAGGGAGTCACGTTTTTGTCTCAAAAATGGGCCACAAGCTAAACCCACTCTCAACACAAAATATACACACCCCAACAGGCGTTGAATCGATCACCCGACACAAAAAATACCGACGTTTCGATATTCCAGAGTCAGTCCACTCCTTATGGTTCGCATGCTCTCCCTCCCGCCCACCACCGCCCAGCAACGATTCACATGCCGTCCCACATGGCATGCACATGCTCCCTCACCGCCCAAAGCCGCGCAGCAACTTCTGACTGACCCGCTTTGTTGGCGGAGGAGTAGCCTTACCCAACTCGGCAAGGGTAAGTATGAACCGTGACATCAGTTTTGCCAAGATACAAAAAAATAACGCATGTAGCAAGTCTACAAACACGGGAGACGCGTGAAAGTAGGGGTCGGACTAGATAGACCCTCATCAGCTGGAGCAGCGCCGCCATTCTCTTGTTTGTCAAGGCACCAATTCCTAGGTAATCTGGACCAACAACAACAAACGGTCCAACAACCTGCATGGAGAAAGAGGCTCGCGGGCGCGCGGCATCCGAAGGAAACTGCAGCGAAAACAAAATAGTAGCAACACCTCCAGCGTGTTGATACATGCGGTGGGCCACAACTCTTCGCCTGCACTGCCTCCTAGGGAAACCTGGCTGCTAGTGCAAGGCGAAGTCTATAGAGATAGACGGGGCAGCGGGATCGTCACACACTGCAGGGTGATTTTCCGTTGCCCAGACTTGTTGGCCCCGGGCCGGACAAACCCCTTTGGTTTCGCTAGCACAGTACAAACCCCACGCTAACGCTAACGTACCGTGCCATTCGGCAAGTCACTGCTCCTACGGCACCACGTACGGTGCCATTCAGCTATGGGCGGACTTGACTCCCCTTCTCTCCCCGAACCTTAAAGCCGCGTGTGGCCGGTGCGTGCGTAAAAGCGCCGAATAGTATATCATGGGCCACTCAAGCTGGTCTCACAACGCAAATAGACAGGACACTCTCCGTGTTAGCCACCACAATTTTCTGCTCCGTCTACTCGAGGACGCGTGGCCAATGGTCTCTACCGCTAAGGCATGAGACTACGACGTGCCTCGGTGATAGCCACCACAATTTTCTGCTCCGTCAGCTCGAGGAAAACGGTCTAACCACTAAGGCGTGAGTACCCCCCCCCCTGACCCCCCTCCATTCGATGTCGCCCGAAGCGAAATCAACCCAGCCTCAGGCTAGTCGGATTTCTTCGCCTTTCTCCTCTCCTCATCGCCGCCGGCAGCTGCCGGGCCAGCGGCGCACGCGCTGAGCCTAAGCTGCAGCACTGCGCTGGTCAAGAACCAGGAGGCTATCACCAGGAACACCGTTTCGGGCTCCGCCATCTCCGTGACCCTGGTGCCTACCACGACGAGCACGTTGAGCGGCAGGCGGAAGATGTTCATCACGGAGGACTGGAGCCCTCCCGGGAGATACCTGGCGGAACAAGAGAGAGAGGGGAAGGGGGGGGGGTAGAAGGCGAGAGAGAGGAGGGGGGAGAGAGACTGGGGTGTGGAGGCGTGATTCTGACAGTACAGGAAGACAGTTTGGCTTTGGGTTTTGGGGGGTCTGTTGGACATCGCCACAACATTACCGCTGCGCACATGAGGAGTGTCTTCATAGCAATAGCGTCGTGCTGGGAAACACACACGTGTGAGGCAACGCCGAAGATGTCTGCCCAATCCAACAACTATTATGTAGCACAGAAAGCATAGTGCCAGTGGTTTGGTCTCTGAAACAAATGACACACGATCCTGATCTGAAAGCGTCTGTGAGTGCTGACATTTTTCGCTCACCGCTTCTTCTCGTAAGCGTGTGGTCGACGGTAGAAGTCGGCACACAGCACAGCTGCCGACGGAAGAGCGCTTGTCGAAAAGTTCCAAAAACTATACCCAACAACAATGACGACAACAACTAGCAACCAATAGAGTCAAACCGCAGAAAAAAATACATGTATCGTTACAGCAAAATGGACAACAGTGCAACTCAGGTCATACCAAAAAATTAAACCTATCGTGCACGGTTTTTTGTAGCAAAACGAAAACACGTGAGGCGTACAGCACACACCTGCTGCGCATGAGACCCGAGCACGAGTAGAACGCTCCGACGCACGTCTCCAGCACGAGAAAGGCACCCAGGACCGTTTGAAAGTCCCGGGTCACGGCTGGCAGGGTCATCGACGCCGCCGCTACGAAAAAGACGAATGCCGACGCCAGCTCAACCGATAGCTGAACGGACAGCAGGAAAGGACGAGACAGGCAGAGAGAGAGATGACCAACATGGAGTGCACCGGAAAGGAGTTCGGCGACTTACTTGCTTGCTTTCTTTATTGCCTCTTCTCCTTGTCCATGATACGTAAAATTAAACATTCTAAATATGTTCTTTAGATTTTCTGATGGCTCTAGCACTATGGTGACGAGGGACCGAGTCTTTGCTAGATTTTGGGATTAGCAGCTGACACGAGTTTAATGTGAAGAAAACAACAACAACAACAACAACAACAACAACAACAACAAGGGTGTTGCGTTCGACATACCATGTGAGGCACTCCACATTATATGCTGATGTGCAAGGTGTTTTTTTCGCACGAAGGAGGGAGGGCGAGGTTGAACACAAAAAGAAGCGTGCATTTCTCACAAAACGCTCTTTCTAGACGGCGTTGATACATGTGCTGCAGCAGTACAACGTTCTTCGTAGCAAACACGTCTCTTCGTATTCGCGGCGCTTGGCAGGAGAAAAGGGCATCGAAAGCAGGAGGAGGTAAGAGACCACGAGAGGCGACGGCCACATAATGAGGAGAATCAAAACCAAAATTGAGGCTGCGGAAACAAGCAAGAACGCGGGTGCTGATGTGAAACGAACGCAGGTCTGGTCCCCGATCCCCGTGGCGTGCCTCGTGGCCGCAGCAGCATGTCAATTTCACGCCTAGGCGGCTACCTTGCCACCAGCACAGCAGTATACAGGAACTGAAAGCGGTACCGTCGATCACACGCTCTACAATTGGTTGCCAAGTGTCCAACAAACCGAAACGGGCCTTCCTCACAGGAGGAGTCAAGACCCAAGCAGGTGGCCCAAGGGACACGAAACGCATTGACCGACTGTACCAGCATCGTCTACACAACACTCTTACATTCTGCATCATGACACGAGACAGCGCCAAGGTCTGGAGGAGTGGCGGCCGCCATGTTTTTGCATGCCGGTTCGGGAGGCGGCGATGAAGAACACGCCGACCGGGGTCACGCCTTAGCTACATTACATTACTTTATATTACATTACGTTGTATAACATGTGAGCGTGCTTGACCATGGTTATTTGGCGTCGTCAGATGCTATGACTACATGACGTCATGCAAGACTAGGGCTTTATGCCGAGGCATGTGCCTTTCTGTTCAGTGTGCGTACGATCCGGTGATCGTGTGTGCTTGGGATCTGTGTGATAGAGCGACAGGAGAATGAAAGAAAAACAGACGAACCTTCTCCTTCGAAATTGGACACAATGAAGCAAATGGACGGCAGGCCCCTCCCCGTGCGTAGTTCCTAGACGTGTGTACAACTATTCGCATGACGGTGATAGACCGACAATGCATTACGTGAACACAACCAACCCGTAACTTGAGGTGTAAGGTTTAGGAAAGAAAGCTGAGAACAAAACGCGTATTATAGTAGAGGAGAACACCAGGCACCGCTGCAGGTCGACAAGCTGCACATTATGTACCATGCACAAGAGAGCACGACCGGTGACTGACCTTTCTGAGCATGATGGAGAATAACACCCCCCCGATGGTGATGCACACCATGAATGACGAGAAGATCAGCCCCGTGGGAAGAAGAACGCCGTCCGAGAGAACTCCCTGCAGGGTCGGCACCCACATGAACACTGCGCATACGGAAGAGAAGGGTACAATGCGTGTTTGTGTGTGAGAGAAGGAGCGCGCGAGAGAGAGAGAGGCATGGAGGCAGATAAATTTATCGGAAACATTGGCGTTGTGTGGTCACCTGCGGTCTCTTTGGTTGGTTTGACTTGTCAACTCCAGGCATACACTCGACTCGTGGCCGCAATGTCGCTCTTACGCCCAGATTGCCGTAACCTATCCAGAAAGGAATGATCAGTCAGCTTCTACTGAGAAGGGACACGATAGTTGCGCCTGGATCGGGGGGGCGGCGAAGCACCAGCCTTTGAGTCACTTGCATGAACGACAGCTGTAGTCACGATTAGCACACCGCGACCCGCACAAGAGCCTGAGTTCTCAAACACATTCGAGAAGCAAGCCCGAACTCGACACCGCAATGAAGACCAGAGAAACTGGTGTTGCAGCTCTTTGGAAGTCCTACCTTCTTACGAGGAAGCAAACGTCACCACACTGGAGTGGGGGTGTACTCGCAGTCGTGCATGCCGTAGTCGTTAGACCATTGACGTCGCATCCCTACAAAGCCGGGACGGAGCACGCCGGGTTCTCACCGGACCAGGCTCTCACATCACCAAGCGCGAAGCGCCGTGAGATATTCGGCGAGTCGCATGAAGGGTGCGCTGCATCCTG